GTCTCAGTGTCCCGGTAATTGCTGCCAGCACCTCTGAGGGAAAGCCGTCCTCAAGTTCCGAGTTCTGCCTGCTGCCAGACCGTCCAGTTTCTCCCCGTATGAGCCCTGGGACCCCAGAGATTTCCCGGAACCGGAGTTCAGAGCAGTCGGGAGCTTGTGACTCCCTCCCGATTCAAAAAGACAGCCGAGTCCTCAGGTGCCTGCCCCTTTCCCCGCGCGCCGGAGCCTCCGTACCTCTGCACTTTACTTTCGTAGCTCCTCTGAGTCTGTGTGCTCTTCTCTTTCCTTCTAGTTGTAGAATTTCCACTCAGCCAGCCTTCCTGTGGTTCTGGATGATGACCGTTCTGTCTTTTAGTTGTATTTTTGAAGTTGTTGTCGGAGGCAGCAATTTCCGGTGTTTACCTATGCCGCCATCTTGGTTTCTCCTATACCTATTTTCTTGGTTAGATCATCAAAAATTATATTTTTGGTGTGCTGCAGAATTTTAGTAATTAGTTTATGTGTGCCATGAAATGAAAATTACTGCCTTAGGGTTAAGAGTCTGAGCTGCAAAGGCCTCTCTTTTGTCTGATAGCCTCCTTACAGATAACACATTCTTCACACTCTGGCCACAACCCAAAGATTTAGTGTCTAGTTACTTCTGCTAAGACCCCAGCCTCCATACCACCTTTATACCTCTGGTCCATTCACAGGAGCTCCTGTGTGTTATTAGCAGAATCTGCATACAGACCACAACTCAAGGCTTTTGTAATTCTCATCAAGTGTAAGACTCACCTGCAGACTGCACTCACATTTTTCTAGCGGTCCACAATAAAGATATGAAAATGTGCAAGCTGCCCAAATTTAGATCACAGGATCTTGAGGAAATGTTAAGATAAATAATTACATTCAGTAATTATCTCATAAAAATTACCTTGAGGAATGGAATCACAAAAGGACGAAGAGGAAAGTTTGTAGCTTCTTGGAGCTTGCAATGGAATTCTTCAATTGTTACTGTTGAGTTCTGAAAAGAGAAATAAATAACCTTGTTAACCTCTAAAAGAAGACACTGTCCTCATATAAATCCTTTTAAAATCACAAAGTATAATTTCAAGAGTACTATTGTGATCTCAGATCATTCTCAAAGATTAACCAAATTATTTCCTTTATAAAAGAAGTTCAGCCTCCTTGACTGTCCTTTCTTTACTACCCCAAATGTAAATTCCCCTCTAAGGTCAGCAGCCTGGATTGCAGAATAGGCACTCAGGTCCTCGGTACTCAGGGTTCATGGCAAGTCACCTCAGGTACAGAAACCAAACTTACAATGTTTCCAGTTGAACAGATTCTGATCAGCCTACGATGTCAACTTAAAAGACTCAACCCAGTGCCTCATTCCTTCAGAAGTTGGTTTCTTCATAGGTTCTGCCTATCTCCTAGCATTAGTTCTCCAAATCTTCTAAATTCAAAGTTTTTTATTTTAATTAAATCTTTATTGTTCAGATTATTACAGCTGTTCCTCTTTTTTCCCCCCATAGCTTCCCTCCACCCGGTTCCCACCCCACCCTCTGCCCTTAAAACTCCCCCCTGCCCCCCTGCACTGTCCTCATCCATAACTGTACGATTTTTGTCCAGTCTCTTCCCGCACACCCCACCCCCCTTT